ACCTGCAGTGATGGAGTGGAGGGGAACTTGCTCACTGAAGTGATTGGCATTAAAAAACCAGGTACTGGGCCAGGATATAGCTCATCTATACAGCACCTGCCAAGTACTTCAGAAGGACAATAGAGAAGATGACCTGAGTGTTTCACAAGAACCAGCAGGATTCCACCCTTTGCAGCCTCAAAATTGCAAAGGTGTAAAATACTACTTTTAGAAGAGTAACCAGAACAACATGTTACAGAACGGCAGTAGCCTGGGGAATTTTTTCCTTGGGATTGGATTCTTAGCACTCAGTGATCCAGACACTCAACAACTATAGTCAAAAGAAAAGGAAGCCGGGCTACTGCTCCATTTGGGCAGATCTTGGCATTATCCACATGGTACAGATTTTAGGTGCATGCAGAATACAAGAGTTGGGTCAGGAAGGCTGCCACCCAGATTTTGGAAGAAGGCCTGGTAGGCTAGGCATTGTGTCCCTGAGAGAGCAGTGTGTGAAGCTGTGTAAGTATGTAAGTATGAAGCAGAAGGTGCACTGGAGACCACTGAAAGTTGGAGAAACCAAGAACATGGATTGTCTGAGGAAACTGCCAAGAGTGAGCAAAGTGGACCCAAGAGAGAAGCCATGAGAGTTGCAACCATGGACAATGCTGTAGGGGTAGAGTCATCCAATCCCTTTGGAGTCCACATCTTGCTACAGATTGCTCTGGATGCTGATTGTGGGACTATAGGATTTAATATACCCTGCTGGAGTTTGGTCTTGCTTTGGTCCCATTCCTTTCTATTCTCCTGTTTGTAGCTTTTGGAATAGGAATGTTCATTGTCTTGATTACTTTTCTCTCATTGCTGGGGCAAAATACCTGACACCCAGAATTAAGGAAGGAAAGGTTTAGTTAGCTTACAGTTCATGGAGGTTTCATACTCAGAATTAAGGAAGGAAAGGTTTATTTAGCTTACAGTTCATGGAGGTTTCATACTTAGCTGGCTCTAAGGCAGAGTGGCACATGGCAGAGGGCAACAGTTCATGGCGATGGAAGACAGCAAAAAGCAAGAAGAGCAAAAGGGATGAATGGTGACAAGCAGCCTCTTTCTCTCCCTTACATATGCAATCTATCAACACCAGGGTGGGTGTAGCACTCATACCCATAATCCCAGCATTGGATCATGGATCAGTCATAAACTCTAAAAGCCCACCCCATGACTGAATGAGGCTTTGTGATAACATCCAGATACAAACCATAACATTTATCTTGTGCCAATGTATGTTGAAAGTGTTTAACTTTTTTTTTTGTTCGTACAGGGGCTTGCAGCTAAGAGTGTGCCTTAAATATCAGAGGAAACTTTAGACTTGGAGTTTTCAGCAGTGCTGAAACTGTTAAGATTTTTGGCTCCTCTTTGAAATCAACTAAATGCCTTTTGCATAAAGGGATGTACAAGTGTTTTAAGGGCCAGCAGTGGAATGTTTTAGCTTGTATGTAGATGTCCCCCCCAAAGCCTCAGGTGGAGCTTTTTGGAGATTGCTATATCTAGTGTGTGTAATATGGATTAAGGTGCTGCGATAACTAGTAGCCCACTGATTTGTTTAGTGTGATTCTATGTGTGGATAATGGGAAGGCCCACTTTGGGTGTGGATGGCACCAACCAATAGACTTGTAGGCTGAATGGAATAAAAGGGAGGCATAACGCTCTTGTTTTGCTGCTTCCAGTCTGCCCTGCTATGAACTTGTTGTCCCTCTGCCATGTCACTCTGTCTTGGAGCCAGCCGACTATGGACTAAAATCTTTACAAACTGTGAGCAGAATAAACCTTTCCTCCTTTGACTTGTGAATGTTGGGTATTTCATCCAGGCAATGAGGAAGTAACTAAGACAGTTTATAATCAACCAATGTTTAGTGAATACTTATCTTTGCCCCTTCATTCAATAGTCATTTAGTTAGTGCCCACTGTGTCAGATACAAAGATGAATCTACTCACAAAGGATTCAGAAACTGCTGAGAGAGACATAAGTAGCCTAAATTTAGTCCAATCCGGGTGATGCCTGCTATGGTAAAGGTTCATCTCTTGCTATTATTGGCATGTGACTAAACAGTTAATTCAAGGGAGAGTTGAATTAGTCCCTATAGAAATAAACTTTAAGACATAAGGAAAGAAGAGAAAAAAGCGAGAAAATAGCCCATGCAAAAGGAATAAAAATAGTGTGTGAGAGAGCGTGCCATCTTTGGGGGAGGTTTTGAGTGATCTGGTAGGTAGAGAATAGGCATTGATGGAAGAATAAAGGTGATATTAGGTATGCACTGAACAGATTTACCTCCAGTGTTCTTAAAGCAAAGGTAGCAGAAGTAGGCAGACTTATAACAAACATATGGATAGAAATCTTTACCTACTTGAATAACATAACACAAATATGTAACTATTCTAGTGGTGACTCTTAAATTTTATGTTCCTATGATAACTATTTATGTTTATATTAAACTAATCTTGAATATTATAAGTGCTTATAAATAACAACATTGAGAAACATACATGGTTTGAGTTAGTTTTCAGTATTTTAGAGAACTGGTTTAGAGCATCTCACTTCTGGTGTCATACTTAGGAGCTTGAGAGTAAATGCTGCTGATTTAGCTGTAATTTCTTCCAGTCAGAAAACAAGGGGCCTGAGAATGTAGCTCAGTGGTAGAACACATTCTTACATGTGTGAGGCCCTGAGTTCAATCCCAACATCTCAAGAAGGAGGGAAGGAGGAAAAAAGGATGAAAGGGAAAACAGTTTTGAAGGGAGAAAGGAAAAAAAACATTTTGGTCAGGCACTGTGATGCATTTCTGTAGTCCCAGCTTCTAGGGAGGTTGAAGTGGGAGGACCAGTTCAGCTCAGGAGTTCAGGACCAGTGTGGGCAACAAGCAGGATCCCATCTCTTAAAACTTCTTGTCTGCAGAGAACAGGAAGCATTTTTTTCTACCTAATGAAATGCATGCTTAGAAGAAGGTGCTTGGGTGGGACTTTAAAAACAGATTCCTGTTAATGTTTATAGTAAAATAAAGAATTTAAAACTCTACAAGTCCTATCTTAGCAGTTTCTTAGACCAAGAACATGTATTATATATCCTGGTTATTTTCCAAAAAACTGTTCTCCAGAAGTTACATAAATTACATTTTCATGATGGTCTCCAGGGATAGAAGTCATTCAAACTACTCCATCAGATTCTTACGATAATTTAATTCTGGGCACTTGAGTTAACAGGAACAGGACTATGCTGTGGTAATTGTGCAGGTATGTGGTCAAGCAACTGATGTTAAAATTTTATCCACTCTGAATATACATTGTGCGTTCAACTAAATTAGATTCTGATTTTCTTTGTGGTCTCTTGGGAAGTATAATGTAGTACAGTCCTGAGTTCTTAGAAGGAGAATCTTCAAATGTTTCCTTTTTTTATTGTTATAATTCCATTTATTTTGTTTCCCTCCTTTATCTCTAAACATAGGACTTTTGTTATTTCTAGAACTAATGCTATGAACTACATTAATTGAAAAGGTAAAACAGTTAACTTTGAAAAAATAATAGCTGTTAAATCAGATATGCCCCTGGCCATGAGGATATAGTGTTTGTATTTTTTCTGCTCTAAATGTAAATGTCTTGCTTTCTCAGTTGAACACTAGAAGACCTTACCTATCCATTTTGGATCCCCACTAGTTTTATTTATTTATTTTTCTGTTATACTTGAATGAGGAATCAGAAAATTTTATGAGGATTGCATATTATGTGGCTATGCATTATTTAATGAGATTACAAGAGACATCACAGGTACTACTATATTTCAAAATGGCATTTTAATCTTTTCTGTTCTTTGTGAATCTATTCAAATGTCTCTTTTATGACTTGCTTGTAAGACAACTGAGAGAGAAATCCTTATTTCTTTTCTCAGTCTATACTTTTGGCATTTATACTATATGTAAATATACTCAAATACAATTTTTTATAAAGGATCAGTACATACCTATAATCCCAGCTACTTATGAGGCTGAGGTAAGAGTTTGAAAGTTTGAGGTAATCCTGGACAGCATAGTTATATCCTATCTCAAAATAAAAAATGAAAAATGTTGGGGATGTAGTTCAGTGGTAGTGTTCCTAAATTTTAGCTACAATACAAATAAATACATAAATAAGGGGCTGGGGATTTAGCTCAGCGGCAAAAGCGCCTGCCTGGCAAGCGCAAGGTCGTGAGTTCAGTTCCTGGTACCGGAGAAAAACCAAAAAAAAAAAAAAACAAATAAATACATAAATAAATAAATCAAGAGGGAAGGAGGTAAGAAGGGCAGCACACTGAGCCAGATGCTGTGGAGTTACAAGGTGACACCAGTTTTCAGGCTCTACCTGAAAGAAGCTGAACATAACCCGAACAAGTCAACTTACTATAAGTTAACAAGGTCAGTACAGAAAGTAGTAAAATGCTAATAAGCAAAGAGGTTAATGTTGCCAGGGGAAGTCACTAAGGGCTGAGCATTGAAGCTTTTGGGGAAGAAGACAAAGGTTTCTCAAGGCCCGCGGCTTCAAAGAGATGGGAAGATTTGTCCTGTGAGTGGGAGGTGGAGTGAGCAGGAGGAAGACTGCAGTGTAAGTTGCTTCTGCTGCTGCTGTCTCTTAACCTGAGCGCAGGCACTGAAGTCCCAGATGCAGCACTTGAGGATGGAGGTGATGGGAATGGCAAGGAATTATGAGTCATAACTATAGTCCATACCCAGAGTTAGTGACTCTGAGCATTCAGGGAAAGGAGATACTGCACCCTACCCCACACTCACAAAGTGTTACGTATCTCTAGGTGTGTGTCTGCTTACTGTGAGAGTAACTGCTGTTCTTTAGGGTCATTATTTTGACCCTAATGTGCCTATTTTGAAGTAAATCAACTTTCATATTTTCTCTTTTCATATTTTCCATTTTCTATGTTGAATTTAATTCAGGCTCTTTGGATTAAAGATATGAGTTGACCTTGCTTATATTATTTCCTTTTTCAGACAAATGGACACCTACCTGGAAATGGAGACATGTATCAAGAAAGGCTGGCACGCTTAGAAAATGATAAAGAGTCCCTCGTTCTTCAGGCAAGTGATTTTTGAAATGTCCCTGTTTTCTCATGACATACTGTTGGCCCTCCTAACTTCATATCAAAAATATTTGGAAAAATTGTGTCTATATTAAACATGTACAGGCTCTTTGTTCATATGATTGTTCCCTAAAAAATACAGTGTAGTAAATATTTACTTTATACTAACTAATTTAGAGATAACTTAAAGTATATGAGCCGGGCGTGGTGGCACACACCTGTAATCCCAGCTCTTGGGAGGTTGTGTGAGTTTGAGGCCAGCCTGGGCTACAAAGTGAGCTCAAGGACTGAACTGCATAGCAAGCCCCTGTCTCAAACAGACAAAATAAATAAATAATAAATAAAGTGTATGAGATGGTGTGCGTAGGTTACATTCAAATACTACAACATTTTATATAAGGAACTTGAGTGTCTGCAAATCTTGGTGTATGTGAACATCCTGGAAGTAATACCACACAGATACCAAGGGAATATGTACTTACAAAGAGTATATTAGACTGAGGTGGTAAATTCAGATGCTTAAAACAAACAGGCTCCTAGGGGAAGTGAGTGTGTAGGCCCTCTGTGCACAGCAGGGAGTGGTAAAGGCTTGGAGAGCAGAGTGGGCACCCAGCTGTCCAAGAGCCAGTTTGAGTACATGCACAATATCATTGATCTGACCCGATGCTTAAATATATTTTAATATACAATGCAAATTCAGATATATGAATATGTGTACTATAGCAGCATTTTATATTTCTGAATATATATTTAATTTTTCCATTTTTAAAATGACGTCATGGGCTAAACAGAATACAGTAGTCAGAGGAGTCCTGCATGTGGACTTGTTTGCTCCCTCATCATTTCAATGCTAGACAAATCTTTTTTCTGTGATATTTTGAGCCTCATGAATTGAGGTTTATTTACTAGAATGGTGATCATTGAGCAGAAACTTAAAATTTGCAATAAGTACTGAGGAGGAAGAATCAACCAAACAGTTTTTGATGGACCTTTTAGGGTGTTATCTTTTACCCTGGCAGGTTTTTTTGGGGGGGGTGGTGGTTAAAATTAACCAGGGCCTAATGCATGCTAAGAGCATAAGCCACACCTCCAGCCTTGCACTTTAGCTTTGAATACATTTCTCATCAGTGTGATATTGAAAGAGTTCATGTAATGTGAATTTCCTGGGTTCTTTCTTTCACTTTTCTTGAAGTATCAGATTGGAATAGTCCTTGATAATGTCTGTTTCATATCTTCTTTTAATCTCTCATACTTTTTCCTATACCCCCAAAATATAATTTAGATACATGTTATTTCTCATAAATGATTGAAATAATTTTAGTCTATAAAGTATTGCACATCCCCAATCACCAGTAAATTTCTCTTACAATGTGTTAGAATGCTTAAGTCAAAAACTAATATATAAGTTGGAAATGAAAGACCACTATCATTAATTACACCATTTTTTTCTTTACTATCTTACAAGTGGTAAGAGCATTCTAGCTTTTGTTCCATTTAGAAAAATAAAATGCACAATTGGACTCAAATTCTTTATAACTCCTTAGAGTATTTTGCTCTAAATGCAGGTAAGTGTGTTAACAGACCAGGTGGAGGCTCAAGGGGAGAAGATTCGAGATTTGGAATTCTGTCTTGAAGAGCACAGAGAGAAGTTGAATGCCACAGAAGAAATGCTGCAGCAGGTATGTGCAGCGGCAAGCCCAGGTTTGTGGGGAGTGAGGAGAGTTCCTGTTGAGCTGTGTTATTTAAGATGCTACTTTACTCTGGTGTAACGGTAAATTTCCAGATTCCCTTAGACTGACACATTTTAAGTAAAACGCTAAAGCAGTAGGATCTTAAAACATGTAGACATAATACAAAATGTTTATTTAATTTGAATAAAATAAAATGTTAGTAAAATTTGAGGTTGATTTTCTTCTTCTTGCATGCATTTTCCTGATTCTTACCATGAGAATATATTTTATGATTAAGAAAGAAGATAAACATCATATGACCTTTGTTATTGGGAGAAACACACACATGCACGCACGCGCATGCACAGTGCTCATATATGAAGGGCCCTTCTGCTTCTGCTGCCTCCTATCTAAACACAGGCAGAGTACACATGAGAGCAACACTGTTTAAGTTTGAACTCCTGCTGTTACATTTTTGCTGTATGGCTTTTAACAAGTTCTTAACCTCTGTGATCCTCAGCTTCTTCATCTGATGAATGAACATAGTTACTGCCTCATAAGGTTTTTTTGGGAGTAGACTATTAATATACATCACATAAGTACACAGCACATAGCAAATATAGTGTTGTCATCATCATCATTAATGTTATCATCTAGCTTAAGTAAATACCATGATAAGGGGGCTGCAAGAGGAGTTCAGTGGTAAAGTATATGCCTTACAGATACTGAAGCCCTGGCTTCCAGCCCCAGCACTAGGAAAAAAAAATAGATACAGTTTATATATGTGAGTATTTCTCATATGGCTCCTCTGATAAGCTGATACATGTTTAGTTCTACTCAAAGGAGAGTAAAAATATTTAGTAATTATTCTTCACCACATCCTATGCTTGATCATTATAGCTTTGCAATCATAAATGACAAAAACAAATTCACATGTAGCCATTTATAACAAAACAATTTTTTTTTTTTTTTTTGTCTTTTTGAGACAGGGTCTCGATATGCAGTTCAGGCTGGCTTTGAGCTCACTTTGTAGCCCAGGCTGGCCTGGAATTCGCAACGATCCTCCTGCCTCAGCCACCTGACTACTGGGATTACAGGCATGCACCACCACGCCTAGCTTTAACAAAACAATTTTTAAACATGTCTTTTAAATTCTAATAGGAGCTCCTGAGTAGGACATCCTTAGAAACCCAGAAGTTGGATCTGATGGCTGAAGTGTCTAATTTGAAGTTAAAATTGACAGCTGTAGAGAAGGACAGACTGGATTATGAAGACAGGTTCAGAGACACAGAGGTAGGTGACCCCTTCTCTTTTTCTGTCTCTTTCTCCCTCGCACATACATGCCCTTACAGTAATGCTAAAATTCCCCACAGGTGTGAAGTGGGGTAATTAGTTACTATATGCACTCATCCTGTTTCATTTTAAGAGTAAATTTTAGGGGCTAGGGTTATAGTTCTGTGATAGAGAGGGTGTTCAGTGTCCATAATGTCCTGGGTTCAATCCCTAAATGTTAATGGCAATTTTTATTTTGAGACTTTTGATTTGAAATATTAATCCTTTCATCAGCCTATAGAAATACAGTACATTCACCTTCAGAATATTTGTAACCCTGTTCATCCATCTTTTCCTATGTTGTAAATAATGTATTTACATGTTTGGTTTTACTAGAAGTCCTTATGTAGGTACACTGATTATTTACTAAAAATAAGAGGATATCTTATATTATACAGAGATGTACTATACAATCAATCATGAAATCATAAAGCTTTTCAGAAGTAATTTAATTTGACCTTCTACGGGCTGGGGATTTAGCTCAGCGGCACAGCACCTGCCCGGCAAGTGCAAGGTTGTAAGTTCAATCCCCGGTACCAGGAAAAAAACAAACTAATTTGACCTTCTACATGTGGTATATTCCAGACATTAATCATTTAAGTAAAACTCACTATACTTTTATGAAATTCAGAGCAGATTCTATAACCTGAAGTATGTGTGGCTAAACAAACTTCATTGTTCTTCCTATTTTACTGTTGTTTTGAGGTACTAGGGATTAAACCCAAGATCTTCACATTGAACTACACCCTCAGCCCTTTTTATTTTGTTTTGTGACTGGTTCTTGCTAAGTTGCCCATTCTTGCCTCAAACTTGTGATCTTCCTGCCTCATTCTCCCAGAGTGCTGGCATTGCAGATGTAAACCACCGTGCCTGCTCTGCTGTTTAATCCAGATCTTCTAATTTGTTGGTGGGGGCAAAGAGCCTGTTCATTTGAAATCTATTCATTTAAAGTGAAATGTAGGGTTAGGATGTAACAGTAGTCCAGTGTTCGCTTAGCTTGCCAGCTTCACAAAATAAGTATGTGAAACTAAATGTAAAGCTATAGAAATTTTTTCTCTAAGAACCATCTTTTTTTTCTCTTTTGTTTTCTTAATTAACAATATGAGGAAGTATCATACTGTGTCAGAAAATAGGTATCAAGGAGACAGACGGTAATCATTCTCTGTGTTTCTCCTCACCTTGACAGATTGTTAACTTCACATCAACCATATGCCATTGTCTTGGTTACTTTTCTCTTGTTGCTGGGACAAAATACCTGACGCCCAAAATTAAGGAAGGAAAGGTTTATTACAGTTTGTGGAGTCCATACTTGGCAGATTACAAGGCAGACTGGCACATGGCAGAGAGCTACAGCTCATGGTGGCAGAACACAGCAAAAGCAGCAACACAAAAGCCAGGGTGGAATGGCCTCAAGCAGCCTCTTCCTCTCCCTTACATATGCAAACTATCCACCCCAGGGCAGGTGCAGCTCTCACACCCATAATCAATCAAACTCTAAAAGCCTGCCCCATGACCACATGAGGCTTTGCAGGGGACACCCAGACACAAACCATAACAGCCATCATGGCAGAGGTACATCCCATTTATCACCTATTATATGAAAGTCCAACTTGAGATAATGAAGGTTACTCCTTTATAGTATATTCAAAATTAAATTTCTTGTCCAAGATGAATTCTTAAGGAAAGTCTTGGTTATATCTCCTGCTTCCTCAACAGCAAATGGAACCCCCCTAACTTCATTCATGATTTAATCTGAAAGCTCTTTGTCAGTATACCTACGTGAGCACATGAGCATGAGTGTGTTTCTCAGTTGAGACTGGAGCTCTTAAAATAGGACTTAGGAAGTTACTTGATTGCTTTAAAATTCTTTTGTGCCTTCTTTGAAACTTACTTAGACTTTCTTCTTTTTGTCCTTCCCTAATCTCAATCACTGCCTAACACAACAGTTCAGCCAGGGGTGGAGAGACTGTAAGTTGGACTAGTTTTGTAATGGGAAGAAGTTACAAGACACGTGGATGAAGAGGTGGCCTTCTGCATCCTGTATGCGAAGTGTAGGGGAATCTTAATCTGGGTGACTTCTGTTCCTTTAATTTGGGTACGAAATGTTAAATGAACATTGGGACTAAATTGCAGTAGATGTCTTATAGTTTTTTGTAATCCTAGAACAGTATTTATGTCTCTTGAGTTTGTCTGCCTTCCTCAGATTTTCCTCCACATGGCTTCCTTCCCTTATGCATTCTTATTCATGTGCAAAGTGAGCTTGTCATTACACTTTAGGAAACTCAATCCCTGATAATTTTCTAATAAATATTTAGTATTGTTGAAAATGTAGCATGCACTTACCAGCAGATTATAGGATTTGATAAACTGTGTAGTGTTATATATGAAAGTAATTGAAATAGTCTTCAAAATTAAAACTGAACTTAATATGCTTATGTTCCTCTTATTGTTCCCTTAATAGGGGTAGAGTGTTTTCCCATTTCATGAAGCCCAAATCCTTTAACTTTGTCTTAGAAATATAGAGTATTTGAATATTAATTTCTAAGAAAATATTGAAGTGTGTACCAAGTATACTTATTTCTGAAACATAGTATATTATAATCTTTGAATTTCATAAGGTTCAGGACTTGCTAATGGGAGATGGTTAGAGGCAGTCAACAGTGCCTCCTGCTGGTAAGAGTATAGAATTCTCTGAAAGGGAAAGGTAACATTTTCTTTATGGCTGAATTCTGATAAGAAGTTACTGGAAATAATTTGTATTCCATTTTTAAGAGTTATCTGGAAACATATGACTTCTTCCAGGTTAGGAATTGAGATTTGTATTAAAGTATTGTCACAAAAGGTAATTCAAAGCTGAACCAGTTGAAAGGAGTGCCGGTCTATAAATGATATACTAGGAAACTATCAAGCCAGATTACAAACACACACCTGTGATCTCAGCACTCTGAGAGGATAAAGCAAGAGGATTAAAATTTCAAGTCAGCCCAAGCAACATAATGACTTCATGAGATCCTGTTTCAAAAAAAGAGAAAAGGAAAAAAAAAACAACAACTGAGGATGGGGGCTGAGGATTTAGCTCAGCGGCAAAAGCGCCTGCCTGGCAAGCGCAAGGTCATGAGTTCGGTTCCTGGTACTGGAGAAAAAAACAAACAAACAAAAAAAAAAAAAAAAAAAAAGAAGAAGGAAAAAACAATTGAGGATGCAGTTCATTGTGAAGTCCCTAGATCCAACTCCCAGTGTGAAGGGTAAGGGATAGGGGATTTTTTTAACAGAAAAATGATTCAAAGGCACTCCTTTCAACTGGTTCAGCTTTGAATTATCTTTTGTGACAATACTTTAAATATGAATCTCAATTTCTAACCTGGAAGAAGTCATATGTTTCCAGGTAACTCTTAAAAAGGAATATAAATTATTTCCAGTAACTTCTTATCAGAATTCAGCCATAAAGAAAATGTTACCTTTTCCTTTCAGAGAATGATTCAGTGTAACTCTGTTTCACTTAATTATTTCTTATCCTTTGCAAATTGTCAGTAAATTACAGTAGTAGATTGGAATTACAGCTGTTCTTTAACAATGAAAAAGTAGGAAAATATACATTAAAAAGATCAGATGAAGGAAGATCACTAAGGACTCATTATACAAGGATGACTAATACTTTTTCTTAATTAAAATGATAGTTACCTTTTGTTTCATGAGCCCACCATTTTAGGGTAGAGGTATTAGGAATTTAAAGCAGTGGTTTTTGTTTTTTTTTATGGAAAAATTGGTTGGTTCTTAAACCACTGTATTTCCATTTTTCTGATCTGATTGACACAACTTTAACTTCAGGAGCTGTTGATTTCTTAAGATTCCAAGCTACTATTGTAATACAGGTAATTGTATTTCTACTTCCTGATGCATTTCCTTATTTCTTTCTGGACAGGGGCTAATACAGGAGATCAGTGAGTTGAGATTAAAAGTTGGTGAAATGGACGGTGAGAGACTTCAGTATGAAAAAAAGCTTAAATCAACCAAAGTAAGTTTTTCACTGGTTTAAGAAAAAAACAAAAGGAACTTTTTAAACAAATGGCTCCACTATTCATCTACGATCAATAATGTAAATAAAAGATATTTCTACTATACAATAATAAAGTTACTTTACAAGTGAGTTGTTTTTCCCCAAGCTGACAACCTTCTTGAACTTACATGCTATTGTTTTAAATAAAAAACCAAAGCTTAATTAATCTCCTGGAATGTTACCCTCCCATTTCTCTTGAGTTATCTAACCTTCTTGAAAATTGATGCTATTTTCTTGGTTATTTAGCTTGTCTTTTTCTATCTAGTTTTCTTTCACTCCTTTGTCTCTCTACCAGTCTTTAATGGCCAAACTTTCTAGCATGAAAATCAAGGTGGGTCAGATGCAGTATGAAAAGCAGCGGATGGAACAAAAATGGGAGTCACTGAAGGTGTAGTAGACTTGGAGTGATAGGCTTAATGGCCTGTTACTTTCTGGCTTCTTGTTGTTTTGCTGTGATGCTGTTTTTAGTGGTATGTGCATTTTGTGTGTTTGTCATCTGTTTATGAAAAATATGCACAATGCTGATTAAAAGGTCAATGAGAGCCCTAATATTCTTTTCAGAATTACCTGAGTAATTAGTGAAAAATAATAGAAAGGTAAAATAAAAGTATTACCATATAAATTACATCTAATCCTCTTAGACTGTCTGAGCCCCAGGCATTGTAAAATACTTACAAAATTTTCCTTGTAAAAGAATTCTATTTCATTTAAATAATAGAGACTTTCCTCTTTCAGGACTTTTTGAAAGTAGACATATACAGAAATTACATCGTGGCAGTAACTAGAAATTACTGCTTAAAGCAGCACAGTGAGAACAACTCTTGCCAGAGTTGCTAAAAATGTATTAAATTTGCTGTCCAATCTTGCTGTAAGCTTAAATTTTCAAGGCTTCATCAGTGGACCGCATCTTCCCATATTACTAAGCATAATAAACATATGTAGAGACTCTGAAAATAAAATATGGCATCAAATATAAAGGTATATGTAGCATTACATTGTTCTATTTTCTGTGTTAAATATAGCCAGCAACATGTAAATTTGCTAATGCTAGTTTTTAGTAAAACAAAACTAAAGTTTAAAAATTAGCAAATAGAACAATAGAGTCAGAAGCTTTTGCTGTTGTATACTTAAAGAAAAACAAGAAGACTTAAAATATCTGTTTTTAGATTTGTTTTTTTCCCATTTCCATAGAAGATTCTGTCCTTCAGTGATGAGGATGAATTTTTTAGTTCTGTGGTTTCCTACCTTGTCCACTGATTAAGCTCAGTTCTTGTCAAGGCATGAGAGCCGTTTTCCAGTCTGCATTTCTTTTTGATTCTTTTCCAGTCTGCATTTTATTTTGCTTTTATGACCTAATTTTGATTTGATTATCTCTTCAATTAACTTGGTCAGATTTTTAAATTTAACAAAAGATTTAAGCCTTAAGGCCATCCTAATCCTAATTATATTTTACAAGAATTCTTTTTAATTTACTCACAAACTTGAAATAAATGATAGCATAGGTATTATAAATAAAGTAGACTTAATAGTCCTACTTCCTGCTTGTCATTGCTACTAATTTCTGATGTTTGTGTCTAAATTCATACAGATTTTTGTTTCATTCTCACAATTCAGTTATTGATTTAAATAACTAGTATGTTCTCTAGTCCCTTTACTCATAAACACTATTTTTAAATGAATTTTTAGGATGAACTGGCATCTTTAAAAGAGCAACTAGAAGAGAAGGAATCTGAAGTAAAAAAGCTGCAAGAAAAATTGATTTGCAAGATGAAAGGAGAAGGGATTGAAATTCTTGATAAAGGTAAGAATGTTCATTTAAGATTTATTACCCTACTTTGTTAAAATCCTCCAAAATCTAAGAGAAGCTAATTTTAGTCAGTATGTAGTTTTGGCATCAAAGGAAAGAAAGACTAGCAAAGCCACTTAGGCCTAGTGGTTCTCAACTATACTGTGACAAAAAATTCATGAGCTGCTTCTTGAGCATCTGGAAAAAGGCCCTTTTATTAGAATTCATTTTATAGTGCTAAATAAATATGTGAATTGATCCAAATTTTTTCAGAACTGGGGAAGATTTTTGAGTATAATTATATGGACTCTGATTAATAATGTGTTATATAAGAATAATTGAATTTTTTTTTGGTACTGGAGAATAAACCCAGGGCCTTCACACTAAGCTACATCTCTACCCATTTTTTTTCTTTTGAGAAAGGATCTCACCCAGTCACTCAGTTGCCCAGACTGGGCTCTACCTTATGTTCCTCCTGCCTCAGCCTCTCAGAGGACCAGGATTACAGGCATGTGCCACCACGCCTGATTGAAGGAAATAAGTGCTTTTCAAAACATTCTATTTGAAAATGTAATGTGTGTAACACCTGTCAGTGCTAGGTTGAATTCAAGCTGTCTTTGTAATTGCAAATGACAGTTGTAGCACGGAAAGCAATTTCAGACTTACTTGAAGTGGAATAGATTCCAGTTATTGAAGCTTCAGCTCATTTTTACTCATTGTATGAAAATAAATAACAGCGTCTCTAGAAGGAGGAATTTTGAGTTAAATTACCTCTAAAGTTTTTTGGCTCTAGAATATCATGGCTTCAAGTACCTGTGTGTATCACAATTCCTTATCCATCCAAAAACTCAATTTATCAAACCCTGAGGGAGTTGTATTTTCTCCCCTGTATTTTGGTATTGTAGAATATTGTGAAAGAGCATGGAGAAATAGGCCATGCTTTTAAGCTTGATTGGGGCTTTAGCGGAGGGTGCTGGAGGTTGGATCCAGGTTCTCACACATGCTAAACTCAGGTTCTGCCATTGAGCTATACTTCAGCCCCAATTTAGAGTTTTACAAATAAAATAGGATCCGAGGACTTGTGGACAGAGGGATTTATTAGAGTAGTGCTCACAGTCTGATTTGAGGACTGGAACCAGTCTGTTGAACTACAGCGTACAACTAGATGAATGCAAAAGATTGAGGGCAAGCGTTTAGACTTTGTGGCAGTCTCATATTGGCACATCTGACTGCCTCATCTCACTGAACAGAAGATAGAACATTTTGGTGTTGTTGAACTTGCATGATGAGTTGGATAGGGCACAGCAGTACACTAGTCATATTCCAGAGGACCAATGATTGAACTGTGACAGAAATGTAAGAAACTTCCAAAGGAACATGACCTAGTTTTTCATCACACATGATGTAAGACACAGTGCTTGTAAGTCTGATTTTGAAAAAATCAGGGTTCAGAAAGATGAAGATGCCGAGTGTGGTGGAGCACACCTGTAATCCCAGAACTTTGGAGGCTGAGGCAGGAAGATCCTGGTGAGTTTGAGGCCAGCCTAGGCTACATAAAAGCAAGTTCAGGGCCAGCCTGAATTATATAGTGAGACCCTATCTCAAAAAAAGAAAGAAAGAAAAATGAAGACCAGAGGCAGTAACTTGAATTTAGGTCTTCTTATCGGTTATGGTACATTTTCTTTCAAAGCTCACAAAAAGTATTATTTATCCTCAGGTCACAAAACAGTGTTTCCTCTTCTGTTTCTGTGAGGTTAGGCTCCTTTTATTTTAGGTAAAAGGAAGTAATATTTATTGTTTTGATGTGTGCTAACTTCCAATTCAATGGATTTTCCTGCACAGATGAAAATTTTAAAAAGAAGCTCAAAGAAAAAAGTAAGGTTTTTGGTGTACTTCCACCAGCCTTTACATTCACCAGAAGTACTGCCTTGTTCATTGCATGTGTTTTAAAACATTTCTCTCCTCAAAAATGTACAGTTGCTTCATCAATAAGCCCTCCATTTCTTCAGAGTGTACAAAACAGAGGCTGGACAGACAATAACAACAGGGGAAAAGGTCACTATGTACACTTTGCCTTAGTTAGCCCTCTTGCTCCATAGTTACAATGGGGCAGATGGAGGTAGAGATCAGAAATGTTTCCTCTGATGATACAGTGAACAGGAGAAAATAACATTTATACTGTTATGAAAACCCATTGTTTAAGATTTACCACAGTTGAAAGATCCTTTTAAACTTTGCTTTTGCGTTTTCATGCTTTGAAATTCATTGTTTGGCTGAGATCTATATTAGATGCTTCTTTATATCCTCTTCGGGGTTAATAAAAGAAATTTCATTTAGGCTGATTCATGGAGCCTGGATTACTTACGACACATAAAGATAAATCTTGAATGGATTCTTTCCCTCAGACACTGAATCATTAAGTAAAGGTATTTGAGAAAGAAAGAAGGAAGGAAAGAAATAAGGAAGAAAGAAAAGTTGATTGATTTATAATTTAAAATGTTGTCAGTGTCAACTGCATTGTTTTAAAAATTTGTGTTTCTCAGAAGCATGTAACTGTAAGTGAATATTTTTACTTTAATTTTTAAAATTTGTATCACTTTTGGTTGAACTTTTATCTTTAAAATATTTTAGTTTTTTATTGTTAAGTAACATACTTTTACTATTTAAATATAAAATTTTAAGGAAAATCATCCTCAGCTTACTTTACCCTTTATGTCTTGAAATGTTCTAAATCAGTGTGGGAAAGGAGGTTTATAGATGAAGCAAAGTGCTTACCCTTCTCTGTGGAACCTACACACAGCTTCTGAGCATGACTACACGCTCCATCAGGCTCTTCCCACGTGTGTCTGTGTCCTGGTTGTAACTGAGCATCATTCTCTCTGCTTGGTCATTATGTGTACCATTCATTGCTTTCCACTCACTGTTTTATAGCTTCTTTCTATAAAAGACAATCTGTGTTTTTATGTTTACAGTGCCCAAGTTTGATCTTCAGTGTTGTGATGAAAGTGTTGCTATGAGGGAGGATCATTAGCACCTGTTGTTTTTGTTAGACCAGCAACTATTTAGATGAGATAAGAGGTTTTTATCTTTTAGTCTTTAAAGAGGGTATGGGTAATAAATGTGCCCCTTTTAAAAACCATTTAAAACAAATTATTAACATTTTACCTTAAGTCGTTTCAGTCTGAAGAGTATCTTGTACACAGTAACTAAATTGATTTCTGATTTGATATGTTATTTTCAGATATTGAAGTACAAAAAATGAAAAAGGCTGTGGAGTCTTTGATGGCAGCAAATGAAGAAAAGGTATCAGATGAAAGTTAAATATTTTTGTTTTGCTTTTTTCGGGGATCAGGGGTTAAAGACAAGGTCACGTTATGTAGTTCAGTCCTATCTTGATCTTATTGTGTAGCCCAGGCTAGCCTGTGATCCTCCTGCCTTGGCTTCCCAGAGTGCTGAGATTACAGGTAGTCACCACTAGGCCCAGCCTGTGTGGACTTTTTGTAACATTTTTTGTTACAAAAAATGTTGCCCATTGCATGCAATCCCCTAGTTTGAAACTACTGACAGTAGGAGGCAGCATGCTTTGTCCCTCCCCAAGCATACATAGTAGCAGCGTTGGATGTTGTGATTGTAGCTGTGTGCATAGGAATACTACTTCTCCCATGAATTTAGAAAATACCCAACATTGAAACCATCAGAGGAGTTCTGTATTTTCAGTTGATCTATAGGAGAAAGTAGGTCCCATAGTATATATTAGAAATGCTGGACCAGTCTGTTAATTTTTATCTCCACATTATTTCCTTTGTATTCCCGACCTCTTTTCCATCTGGCATTGTCTCTCCCCTCTTGAGAAGTGAAATACCAGAAAACAGTGACACAGGCTCCATGAAACCGTGTGAGGTTCTGACATGTATTTTTAGTATATTGGTTTAGTAATCTGTGTCTCCAAAGGTCTTTCCTCCTTACTGGCTCTTCTCACACTCATCTGATATTACATCTGGCAGCGTGTTTTTTGCTGGTCTCCATGGCTGTCCATGTGTTATCGTGTGGTGGATCCGACAAGCAGATGCCAGGCTCTGTGTACAGCAAAGAACTACAGTGTGTATACCTGATGGTGAAGGAAAAGCAGCTGCATTCCTGAAGGTCATAAACAGATGGTGCTAGGATGACAGAAAAGGAACACTGCACTGTGCAGACAAATCAGGCTTTCAGGCTTAAGAGCAAGAAAGGGTGGGGCATGGTAGCACACACTGGTAATCCCAGCACTCGGGAGGCTGAGGCAGGAGGATTGCTGGGAATTCAAAGCTAATCTGGGATATGAAGTAAGTTCAAGGCCTGGCTGAACTATATAGCAAGACCCTGCCTCGAAAAAAGCAAGAGACAAAAAATGAGGCTGCTTATGCTTTGTTCTGGGGTTATATAGAGTGCTTCTAGGGTGCTACCTAAGCTCCAGTGGGTGTAGTGGAGTGATTAGGGAGGACTGGCCCTAGCATGCCATCCAAGCCTGCAGAGGGATGATTTCCTCAGCTCCCAATGTTCTGCCTGTATTATTCCTCCCTGAGAGACCTGGTCCCCCAAAACCTTTGAGGGATGCCAAAGGAGGAAAGTCCATCTCCATGGCTACTTCCTTCTGAGTAGTCGGCCACTGGCCCTACCTATGTGGAGACCAAGGAACTCTCATCCTATCTGATCTAAGAGATCAAGGGAGCTGAGTTCTTCCTCTAAGGGTTTCTTTTTTATGGCTTTTTCCAGACAGTCTTGCTATGCAGTTCAGACTACCCTTGAACTCACTATATAGCCCAGGCTGGCCTGAACTCATGAGGATCCCCCTATCTCAGCCTCCCAAGTTCTGAGATTATACCACCATGCCTGGCCTCCAAGGGCTTGTGAATGAGCGATGAACATGAAAGTGGGCTTTCATCTTGGGCTTATGCCGTTACCAGTAGTTTAATGCTGTCACACTAGAAGAGACAAATTTGATCAAGAGATTAAGTATGTAAGGTCAGGGGCTGGGGATTTAGCTCAGCGGCACAGCGCCTGCCTGGCAAGCACAAGGTCATGAGTTCGATTCCTGGTACTGGAGAAAAACCAAAAAAAAAAGTATGTAAGGTCAAAATAAATTACCAAAAGCATTAATAAAGCCATGTCCAGGTCAGTAGTCAATTCCTCACTTCCAGATATTTGCCCAGGACAGTTCTTTCCAGATCTTAAAATCATGGTCATCCAGCTTCTGTGCTATATCGTTTACTGTTTTAGACTGATTAAAATAAAAGCTACATTCTTCTTTTACAGACAAATATAACCCCTCTGTTTTGGCAGTTAAGATAACTAGACCCTACAGTGTTGTATGGCCACCACTGCTAGTGAATCTATTTAGTCTTGAAGGACTACAGTACACTAGGAAAATTTGCTTAGGCCAGTGGTAGTGAACCTATGGCGCATGTGTTGTTTTCCTTTTAAGACAAAAGATGTTAATGTATGAGTTGTTATTTCTAAGCTAAAACCCAGTATTCATGTTCAATTGCAGTGTTGGCACCGTGCAATAAATGAGTTTGGAGTTGCAGTTTAGCCACTTGTCTCTAAAAGGTTCACCATCATTGACCTAAGCTGCATATCAATTTCTTTGGTAACTATTGATGATAAGGAAAAGATGTAACTAGTCTTAAAGTTTTGTGCAAATAATCACTGTTCACTGGGTATGGTGGCACACACCTGTAATCCCAGCACTTGGGAGGCTGAGGCAGGAGGATCATTGCCAAGTTCGAGACCAGCCTGGGCTACAAAGTGAGCTCAAGGCCAGCCTGAACTGCATACCAAGACCCTGTCTCAAAAAGACAAAAAAAAAAAAATCACTGTTCTTTATCTCTACTAGAAGCAGTTTTTGAATCATCCAGCAGGATCCTAAAAGAAACAGAAAAAAAAACAAAAGAGGTCATGTTATAACTTGGGATTCAAATGTAGCAAATGAGAGTAGGTTTACTTTTCAGGTTCAACAGATTGATTGGTGTTTTCTTTTCTAAAAAGAAACTTGAGGTCACCCACTGATTCCCCCTTCTTTGTTTTCTGGTGCCTCAGGTGGCTTGCATTTTACCCTAGAGAAGTGAATCTACCTATTTATTCCCTGTACCTCAATGGCAGAAGGTGTGGTTAAAAGGGTTGTGTAAGGCCTGCCCACTTAAAAGCAAACCAGTATTGGGAGTTAGGATACACAGGAATGGAGAAGAAGGTATCTTTGCAATCAAGTACAGAGAACAATTTACTGTCCTCTGGGATCTGTGCTGAAAGGGTATATGGGTACCACTGCCTCCTTGATCACTCTTAGATCTTGTACTAAGTGATATTCTCCTAATAGCTTGATTGTTGGTAAAATGGGTATATGGCACAGGGACTGGAATGGCACCAGTAACACTATAGCCAAAAGTTTATCAGTAATGGGCTTTAGCCCCTGCCTAAATTCTTTCTTAAAAGTAATACTATCTTCTGTGAGGATCCAGTTTAGGGTCCTCTAGCTGAATGACTACTGGAGTGACCTTGACAGCCCTCCCCAGGGTGCCACCGAATGCTTGGGGATCAACACCCAGCAGAGACACTGGGCCTCATGGGGTCAGGCTGCTGAGACTCTAACAGCTAGGACATGGGTTGCCAGAAGTTTGGATGTTAGAGTGGCCCTGAGTAGGAAGAGTATATCTCTTTCAATTACTGGTATGGAACACTCTGGTATCGCTATAAGGTAGTTTGGAAAAGGAAATCTAAATAGCAACTTAGAGTAAGATAAAGAAAGCTATTCAGTTAACTCCTTCAAGGCCCATAACAACTTTAGAACAGAATGAAAGCTCACCCCAACAAGAAACTAGAATAATAAAAAAGAAAAAAACTAGAATAAGCCACCCCAGCATTGTGGAGAAATGGAGCATAATTCTGGGGGTGCCATGCAGGCTGCCTCAGCACCATCGTTCACTATCCAGGCATTCTTCTCTAGCTCTGGGAGTGAGGACAGTCCCCCCTTCAATGCCAAGGATCTTCTCCCTCCATGCTCTAACAGGCCTGGCAAGGGTTTGGAAGCTTTTAGAAAGGGCGTTCCTTTGCCCATTGCCCCAGTCATTTGCACTTAAAGCACTCTGACTTGCTTCCATTACTCTTTAGGGTCTGGTAACAAAACCACAAAGTAAAAGTCAAGCAAGGTGAAAATTTAGTCAGCAAACACAAGTTACACATCTTTGAGGCCACAATTACAACAACTAAAACAAAGTCAAGTAGAATAGGGAAAAAGGACTAGCATTAGAGAAGTAACCCCTCAGCACACAAGGGCTTAAAATGCACAAATTTCTGTTTTTCCTGCATGAGGAAGCACTGTACTTCCAACTCTCTTTCCCTGCATTATTCAGCACCACAAACCAAATGAGTTGAATTCTCCAATAGACAAAAGCTTGCATAGAAGTTGGGAGGGCTGTGTTCTCTCAAGGGAGGGAGAAAAGGAAGACAAACTCCATATGATCCTGCAGCTCACAGGGGTCAACACATCTTTGGGGTGTGCAGGTGGCTGCTCAAGTCTACACAAGACAGCAGTAGCATTGGGTGGACTGGGCCCATGCCTCCCAGTTGCAGGTGAAACACCAAGTAAGTGGGCTTAGAGGAGTCTGTTCAAGCCAAAGCATCCAGGTCCCAGCCCCAGCCAGCTCCAGGGGTGAAGGACACGTGTAAGCCACCCGTCTCACTTCAGTTCAGCTCAGCTGCCTCTCTGTAGGAACAAGGGAAACCACAGCTACTTAAAGGGAACCCCATGCTGCAAGGACTGACAGCAAAAGGGAGTGTCACATAAACAGACCCACTCAGTGTGTGGGAGCCCTCACACATTGGTCCCTGCATAGGTCAAAGCCTTTTGCTCCACAATCTGGTCATCTCTAAATAGTGACCATATCAGCTGTTCATGCTGGGAATCTGTCCTGTGCACCTAACAAGAGTGTAAAAAGGAGCAGCTTGTAAAAAGGAGAAGAAAGTATCCCCAAGAGGGGAATTACCTTCTTTTCTGGCCGGGCTTCTGCTGGCTGTTGTATGGTGACTGCTGGCTACTGGCTGATGTCTAATGAGATCGCCAGGCTGTTGATTTTTCCCGTGTCTGGTGAAGCCTGCTGATATCTCTGACTCCTAGCTGGCTCACCAAATGTGTGGTGGATCCAACAAATGGATGCCAAGCTTTTGTATACAGCAAGCAAAGAACTGCAAAGTAGACACCCAATGGTAAGGGAGAAGCAGCTATATTTATTGAAGGTTATATACAGCCAAATGGTGCTGGACCAACAGAA